CCCCCCCCCCCCCCCCCCCCAACACACACACACAGAGGAGAACAGATATGGGCAAAAACATTTTCGTCCTCAGCTGCAGGTGATAGTAAAAGTTAGAGTATTTCCTGCTGCGAGAACTAAGGATATTGACTGCTGTACATTGGGGTCTCTATTAGAACCTGACCAATATACCCGTAGGGCTGATATAGGCGTTTGGGGACATATCGATATCGGTGATAATTGGCCAATTAAGTGCCAATATAACCACTTAGAATTTTCACCCCTAAAATGCTGGGAACCAGCTGTGTCCTTACTTGCAAATGACGTAATTGTACAATGTTTCCAGCAGAGGGTGCATGAAGACAACTTTCAAGTCATGGCCATTCACTTTAAGTTTAACTTTCACTGACAGCACAGCCAAAGCAGGGAACAACTAAATACTGTTTAGCGTATTTTGCTGAACAGAGCATGGTAAGTTACAGTGCCTTGCGAAAGTATTCGGCCTCCTTGAACTTTTTAACCTTTTGCTACATTTCAGGCTTCAAACATAAATATATAAAATTTTATTTTTTTGTGAAGAATCAACAAGTGGGACACAATCATGAAGTGGAATGGAATTAATTGGATGTGTCAAACTTTTTTAACTAATGAAAACCTGAAAAGTGGGGCATGCAATATTATTCGGCCCCTTTACTTTCAGTGCAGCAAACTCACTCCAGAAGTTCAGTGAGGATCTATGAATGATCCAATGATGTCCCAAATGACTGATGATGATAATTAGAATCCACCTGTGTGTAATCAAGTCTCCGTATAAATGCACTTGCTCTGAGATAGTCTCAGGGTTCTGTTCAAAGTGCAGAGAGCATCATGAAGACCAAGGAACACACCAGGCAGGTCCAAGATACTGTTGTGGAGAAGTTTAAAGCTGGATTTGGATACAAAAAGATTTCCCAAGCTTTAAACATCCCAAGGAGCACTGTGCAAGCAATCATATTGAAATGGAAGGAGTATCAGACCACTGCAAATCTACCAAGACCTGGCCGTCCCTCTAAACTTTAATCTCGAACAAGGAGAAGACTGATCAGAGATGCAGCCAAGAGGCCCATGATCACTCTGGATGAACTGCAGAGATCTACAGCTGAGGTGGGAGAGTCTGTCCATAGGACAACAATCAGTCATACACTGCACAAATCTGGCCTTTATGGAAGAGTGGCAAGAAGAAAGCCATTTCTCAAAGATATCCATAAAAAGTGTTGTTTAAAGTTTGCCACAAGCACCTGGGAGACACACCAAACATGTGGAAGAAGGTGCTCTGGTCAGATGAAACCAAAATCAAACTATCCTGATGCATGCTCAATAATCCAGGTAGAAAATCTAAAAAAGTTAAATCTGGTCCTCTGGACATTCAAAAAAACAAAACAAAGCAAAATCTTTCATCCGAGAGACTTCCTCAGTCTGAGGAGCTGTATTCAGCTCAGTCTCTTAAATAGCACCTTCTCAGAGTAGATCAACCAGTTTTGCTGCTGACAACCAAAACCAGCTGATCACATGCTCAAGAAGGACCATCAGCCTAACAATGGATCATTAGCACACTGATGGCTGTTTACTATTCACAGAGGGCTGAGTGATACTAGCAATCACAGCATTGTAAGAGGGGGACTGTTGAACCCGGAGGCCTCCACCCCTGTTTAACGATGGACGATTTCTTTTCACAAAGATGGCCTCCTTTACTCCTCTCTCAAACCATCGTTCCTCTCTATCCAGGATGTGAACATCTTCATCCCTGAAAGAGTGACCGCTGGCCTGGAGATGAGTGTAGACCGCAGAGTCCTGGCCTGATGATGTTGATCTTCTGTGCTGGGCCATCCTTTTGGCCAGTGGCTGTTTAGTTTCCCCGATGTAAGACTGATCACAGCCCTCCTGACACTGAACAGCATACACAATATTACTCTGTTTGTGCCGGGGGACTGGATCTTTGGGATGAACCAGTCTTTGCCGTAATGTATTTTGGGGTTCAAAAGCCACTGGGACGTTATGTTTAGAAAATAAACGTCTCAGTTTCTCTGACACTCCCTCAACATATGGAATGACCACTGGTCTGGGTCTGGGTTCCTGAACCCAGACCCAGACCAGTGGGCTTTGTGAAAAGAAATTGTCCATCGTTAAACAGGGGTGGAGGCCTACGTGTTCAACTGTCCCCCTCTTACAATGCTGTGATTGCTAGTATCACTCAGCCCTCTGTGAATAGTAAACAGCCATCAGTGTACTAACGATCCATTGTTAGGCTGATGGTCCTTCTTGAGCATGTGACCAGCTGGTTTTGGTTGTCAGCAGCAAAACTGGTTGATCCACTCTGAGAAGGTGCTATTTAAGAGACTGAGCTGAATACAGCACCTCAGACTGAGGAAGTCTCTCGGATGAGAGACGAAACGTTTCTACATTTCTTTTTGTTGTTGTTTTGTTTTTTTGAATGTCCAGAGGACCAGACTTAACTTTTTTAGACAAAATCGAACTGTTTGGCCACAATGCAAAACGATATGTTTGGTGTAAAAGTAACACAGCTCATCACCCTGAACACACCATCCCCACTGTCAAACATGGTAAATGGTAAATGGACTGTACTTATATAGCGCCTTTCTATCTTATTGAGAAACTCAAAGTGCTTTACACTACAATCTGTCCTCATTTACCCATTCATACAGCACTCTACTAGATCTCTACAAAGCTAATTGAACAAATCATTCTAAAGAGACTAATCAGTGATTTATCACATTCATACACTGATGGGACACACATCGGAGGCAATGAGGGGTTCAGTGTCTTGCCCAGGGACACTTCGGCATGTGACTGCTGTGGGGTTCGAACCCCCAACTCTTGCATTGGAGGACGACTGCTCTAACCACTCAGCCACAGCCGCCCCTCAGCCATGGGTGGTGCCATGGTGGTGGCAGCATCATGGTTTGGGCCTGCTTTTTGTCAGCAGGGACAGGGAAGATGGTCAGAATTGATGGGAAGATGGATGAGACCAAATACAGGACCATTCTGGAAGAAAACCTGTTTGGGTCTGCAAGAGACCTGAGACTGGGACGGAGATTTATCTTCCAACAAGACAATGATCCAAAACATAAAGACAAATCTACAATGGAATGGTTCACAAATAAAAGTATCCAGGTGTTGTAATGGCCAAGTCAAAGTCCAGACCTGAATCCAATCGAGAATCTGTGGAAAGAGCTGAAGACTGCTGTTCACAAACGCTCTCCATCCAACCTCACTGAGCTCGAGCTGTTTTACAACGAAGAATGGGCAAGACTTTCAGTGTCTCCATGTGCAAAACTGATAGAGACAAACCCCAAGAGACTTCCAATAAATTTCATTCCACTTCACGATTGTGTCCCACTTGTTGTTGATTCTTCACAAAAAAATTAAAATTTTATATCTTTATGTTTGAAGCCTGAAATGTGGCAAAAGGTTGAAAAGTTCAAGGGGGCCGAATACTTTCGCAAGGCACTGTAATTGTAACTGATGGGGTAAATTAAAAAAAAAAAAAAAAAAAAAAATCAACAATAATAAATTAGCTTAAATAAATATTCCAACCTGTTTGTCATTAGCTATGGGCTTCTCAAATTAGCAAGCTAACATATAGCATAGCTTATTGCCTTGTAAAATTTAGCCAGAACAATAAATCTAATGTAGCAGTAAATATATATCAGTGTTAATAACGTTTTCTTTGTCGTACTCAAAGAAAAAAAAAAATGCTGCAGCTGTCAATACTAATTAGACCTTCACCATGGTCATTAGTGGAGGTTGTGGGTTACTTTGCTCCAAAACCTGGAAATATGACTGAGAAGTAACGTTTTCACAAATGTGCACGTTCCTCAGGTCATGTACACAAGCACCACCCTGGATCCACGCTTTTGAACTGAACACCGATGGTATCCAAACGAGTGCCGGATACTCAAATGAGCTGAGGCCAAGAGTAGTGGATGTTGTTCGTGCTTGCTCTCTGTTTCATTGCAAAGCAAAGTTTGTCATTTAACTTGTTGGCACACGGCAATTTTTGTTCATTTACGGTTGATTTTCATTCAAGTTCATGAGAACATTCAGGATCTGGTCTGTATGTAAAGTAGTGCTGCCCGAGAGGCTAAAGATCAAAACCATTTATCACTAGTTTTTTATTTTTATTTTTTTTAGACTCTATGAATGTTTTGAAGATACTGCCAGTACATCTAATGACTTCTGAATAGTTTTTTTGAAGCAGCTTACTTTATCAAATATGAACTATACGTAGACTGTACTTATATAGCGCCTTTCTATCTAGTCAAGATACTCAAAGCACTTTACACTACAACCTGTGTCCTCATTTACCCATTCATACAGCACTCTACATTTCTTCAAAGCTAATCTGAATCTGTAGAAACTCATCAGTGCTTTATCACATTCATACACCGATGGGACACACATCAGCAATGAGGGGTTCAGTGTCTTCAGGGACAAACGTGTGACAGCCGGTGGAATTGAACCCCCAACTTTCCTATTGGACGACGACTGGTCTAACAGCTCAGCCGCAATCACTAAATCAATAACATTTTTGTCTTGGCATTTTATTGTTTAATTTTAGTGTGTATTTGCACTGGAGCCATTTGTGCAGTCAGTGTAGTCTTATCTATGATTTTTGTGTTGCTATGCAATAAGCTTATCTGATCATTTAGGGCAAAATATGAGTTTTTATGTGAAATGATGAGCTCCAAAACGAAAGTATCATTAGCAAAATTACCATCTGAAGTGTGGCCTTTTAAAAATTTTAGCTACGGTAAATGTTAGGTTTTAACTAGGTCTGTCACGAAAACAAATTTTGTTGGGCGATTAATTGTCTCAGAAATTATTGTGATAAACGATAATATTGTTTGAAATTTGCCAATAATTAGTAATTATTGTCAAATTGAAGAAAAAAATGTTGGCTCATTTTTGTGTGTATTACCTTTTTCAACCACCGGATGGCAGTATAAGACCGGTTGAACCGAATGATGGATAGTGAGGGAGTGAGCAGCGTGTCTCTTTAAAGAAAAATGGGAGGAAGGCCCCTTGACATGACATGGGCTGTCCCTCCTGTTTTTCGGTTCTCAAAATGGCGGATGTTCGGTGTGGTTTGAGCTCTTTAGCATAGCATTTTTCAAACAAAGCTTTTAATAAAAAATCAGTAAACAAGTTCTTAGCAGGCACGGGATTCAACTGTGAATTTTGGAGCTTCGACAAGAGGGACGTTTTTTCTGAGGTCGGCCTGTTAGCTTAGCACGTAGCTTAGTTTCTCAGTTTAGCTGCTTTTAATGATCCAAAAATGCAATTTTGGATGGTTAAAATGGATTTTAAAGAGAAAAGAGAAAGGGAGGGGTCCAGTGTCTTCAGTAGAAAGAGAGAAACACGAAGAAACGATAAAGCCGATAAATGAAAATGAGGTTGATCATTTTAATTTATCATGTGATTAATTGATTTATTGTTTATCAAGACAGGCCTAGTTTTAATCATTAAAACTGGTTTTTTTTTTTCTTTTGTAATTACAATTTACTGAACTATACTTTTAAAAATAGAGGAGGAAAAAAAAAGAAATAAAAGAGCTACCTGCTCATTGACTCATACAGATGCTTTCATATTGAGAAACTAAAGACAGCATTCTATGAGGGAATGCACATCACCCGCCATTTTTATGCCAGATTTTCAAACTAATATCTTTTGATGAGAAGCGATGGAGCTGTTTAGGTCAAACAAAATAACAGTCACAATCACAAGTGATAATGCTAAATCTGTTAGCACTCTGGGTATATTCTCAGGATTAGTGTCAGATACCAACATATCAAATTTTAACCAATAATCAATAAATCTGACTGAGTTATTGTGATTTTTGTCTTGGCTAATGGTTATTAGCTGCAACATCCATCTCATCTTGTGACTTCAAAGGATTATCAGCTGGAGATGTACTTTTAGTGATTAGTTGTTGGGTTTAATAAAAATCTGTCCAGCGATTCTTAATATATTTTACTAACAGACAAATAGAGCTGACAGAAACAGTTGATGACATAGTTTTGAATTAAACTCAACAAGGAGTGGCTAAAGTATGTGCTAGGCTTGACTCATGGCTACCACACTAAATTTTAGCCCAAAATCTGTAAAACTGACTGAGCTATAATCAATGTTGTGTTTTGTAAAGTCAGTTGTTTGTTGTAGCCATCTTGAATTATGTTGACTCCAAAAGATAATCAGTTATAGCTGTGCACCAAGTGATCATTTTCTGAGAGTTTCATTAAAATCCATCCAGCGATGCATGAGATATTTTGCTAACAGACAACTCAATCCAAAAAATAGAGCCAAAGTTTTACAAACAGATGGAGCACGATAAGTTAACATTTAGAGTGCAGGTTGGGGATGAGTCTCAGCTACTACCACACTAAACATGTGCTCGATATCTCTCTTTACAGATGGATCACGTTTATTCAAACACACAGGAGCCAAACTGGGGCCCCCCATCATGGATCCAGGGATCTCAGAACTGACCCTCAGGTGTTTCTCACTTTATCATGGACACACTGTTCCTATAATGTTGTGTTGTTGTTCAAAATGTGCTCATTGAGCACTTCACTGTCCCGGAGCTGAGCTCCAGTGTCAGGAGCGCAGCCTGGCTATACTTATCACTGCGGCTGAGGGACGCACGGCGGGCCTTGACGCTGACAGCACGCAGCCAGCCCTATTTGGACACGGCTTCAGAGCCAGCCTGCCACCTCAAACAACCAGCCGCCATTCATTCACTTTCCAAACTCTCACCTCCCACCTTAACCTCCAAACACCCCCGCTGGCTTCTGATTGAATCTGTCTTTACTGTCAAATTAAGCGTCTGCCAAGTCCTTCGAGCTGAACAGGCACTTTCGGCTTGACGCACATGCACGCACGCGTTCCTATAAACAGCAACACAAGCTTACAGTATTTTTAAGGTGCGGGCGAACTTATCTGTGTTTCTTATTAATAGGCAACACGTACCCGGCGGTCATGGCGATGTTGTAGAAAGTGAGCCATGCGGTGACGAGGGCGCTTTTTGTTCTCTTCTTGTTGTTGTTTTCCTTCTCCTCAACCGTGCCGTCCTCCTCGCTGGACGCCATGGCACCGGGGGCAGGGAGGGGAACTCAGGAAGGGAGCTGACAGCTGTGGGGGGCTGGAAGGGAGGGGAGCATCCATCTCTCAATCCACCCAGGGAGAAACCCCCTCCTTCTGTCTCTCGTGGGACGAGTGCATGGCCTGCTGGTGGGCTGGCAAACCACTTGGACCTGGTTATACTGTAGGTGGTGTTACAGGAGATAAAACACAACAAAAACAAAAGCAGAACCGGTATTTGCTCATCTCATCTCGCTGCCAGTCATATCAAAGCGGTACAACGAGTTTGGCTTAGGATCAAAAGGGCCTCATGCTGGACCATGTGGATGAAGTTCTCTTGACTAGGGTTCATGCTAGATTTAAAAGAGGTCCGTGAATGAATGAATTGCTGACTAATTGAATGGATGCATTATTGAACAAAGGAATCAAGAATGAATGAACAAATGCCTGACTGACCAAATCTTCTTTTTTCTGCTATTCCCTTTTCACAAGCTTCTCCATCTCACTCTATCCTCACTCCAATGACCTCCATGTCCACTCTAACTACATCCATATTTTCATGGCAGCTGCATTTCTAGCATCCTTTTACCAATACACCCTCTGTCCTGTTCATTGTTCATTCCTCCTTTTTCTTGTGGATAGTCCACCATGCAAAGACGCACTACTATCCTGCACAAGTTGGATAAATAGTTGACATGAGTCAGAAACTTTCAGAAACAAGTGTATACTTCAAGGAGTTTGACAAGTGGAGCTGTAGCTATGAAAACAAAGGACGGTGAACAGCTCATCTACAGATATATATTGGGGCAGCTGTGGGAGTGGTTAGAGCAGTTGTCCTCCGTTGAGAAAGCTGGGGGTTTGATTCCACCAGCACTCACATGTTGATATGTCCCTGGCAAGATATTGAACTCTTCATTGCCTCCGATATGTGTTCCCTCGGTGTATGAATGTGATAAAGCACAGACTATTCTTTGTATAGATCTAGTAGAGTGATGTATGAATGGGCAAATGAGGGCATAGATTGTAGTGTAAAGCACTTTGAGTATCTTGATCAGATAGAAAGGCGCTATATAAGTACAGTCCATTTACCATTCCATTTATATACAGTAAGTCTGTAGCAAACTGATTTCTGCTCTCATGGAGCGCCGCTGCCTGACAAAGTGCATTACAGCAGAATCTAAAATTAGCTTTCTTAATGACACCATGCAGAAACGAGTGTAAACCAAAGACAGAACCAGATACAGTGCAGACCACCTAATACTTAACCTGTTACTCAGTCAAGTCTTCAGGTTTCTGGGGTCTGCAGCTACATGAGGTTGAGACCAAACAAGTCAGACACACCTCAACTCCATTGTCACTTTAAATGATTTGTTTTTATATATATTAGTGAAAAACAAAGGCTTAGTCCAATAAAAAAGCAGAAAAAAGAGTATGATGAATAGACCAACTGTTAGTATTTGATACGCCAATGAAGAGTTAATATTTTACAGTAACATGTTTCAGCCACTAGATGGCAGCAGATAACGTGAAGTATCAATATGTTTTTCATACTGTAATTCAAACTAGCCTCAAATATCAATTTTACTACAGGAGATGTTAACTCCGTTGATGTTTATGAGATAAATAACAAATATACTAAATCAAAACTTAATATTACTGTGACATCGAAACTGTTTCAGTTCAAAATGATCCCAGTTAAATTCTCAAGGATCCTTCAAGAAGCAGAGGTGGATGAACTGTTTGCATTGTCTATAAAATCAGACTAATAGGTAAGTCCCATCCCCGTCACACCAAGGTACACAATGCCTAGTGCAGTGTAAGCAGTTGGGTGAGCAGAGAGCCAGGACTGTGGTGTGTGGAAAATGCTAGTGGAGCCAGACAAAGCAGCAGACCGAGACCTGACCAGCCCTCACAGGGACAGGGGTCGCCTCACTGGGACAACAGCCCCCGTCTCCCTCCCTTCTCTCTCCGTCTGTGACCTGCAACAGGAATGGGATCGGGGAGCATGCTTAAGTTCGCCCTCTGTGAGGTGCTGCAGTTTGCAGGCCTGTGTGTGCCGCTCTTCATCGTGATGCAGAGATTCGCTGACATTGTTGCAAAGGTGAAAACATCTGCGCAGCCCCCAGGCGATGCCAGCACGGCCTACTGGCTGATCGTGGCCTCCTCCATCGCCTATGTCACCTCCACTGCTCTGGTGATCTGGGTACCCTTGAAGTATATGGTCTTTATGAAGAAGAAGTTCCTCATAGGGAGGAAGAAGTGGTAAGTGTCAGCGGAGTCAGTGATGGTAGGTCATCAGCTGAGATCCCAGCGCAGCTCTGCTTGAGATTGAACTAGCTGGTGTAAGTCTGAACTGGTCTGTGGTTGGTTTGGATAACACTTGGCTGATAAATATAATGAGCAAGTCCTGAACCTGCCTTTGTCCTGTCTGACTTGTTGTGGTTTGTCCTCTGTTTCTTCACCCCAGGAGACCTGTGGCCCTTGTATATGTGATCCTGTCCACATTACCCTGCTTCGCTTTTCTCATTGCCAGCTCTGAGGTATAACATGCTGTAGGTCATTTCTCATTTTAATTACTAGTTACATCAATGTATCTATGCTTTATCATTTTTACCCTGAAAATTAACATTTCTTGTTACAAAGTAATCAAATGTCTCGACAAAGGTGAATTTTGGCACATTAATTTGATGAGTGGAACTTGAAAGGTGATGATTTGTGAGAATCCTCTTGGTTCTCAGGGGAACCTCATGGATAAGAAGCTACTGATAAGCAGCTTGGTTCCTCTTCCTGTCCATGCTGTCAAATCATCTGTCCATGAGGCACAATTTCACTTCCTCATTGGCTGCAGCCTATGCTCCATTTGCTGTTTTATGTAGTTTTCACCAAAGTCTGATCTGACCTGTTCATCCTTTCTTATCTGCTATCTTGTCCAAAAGAAACGCAAATTCTGCTAAGATGACCAACTTGCCTGCATTGTTCAGTGTCCTGTTGGTGTGAAGTACTGACTCAGGCAAATACCAGAGCTGCAAGTGATACGATGCAGTACAGAGTTCATTACTTGTTAGTTTGAATGGGGGAATTAGGTTTTATATATTTCATGTTAAATCATTGTTTTTCCAGGTCCAAATCAACAACAACATCAAACATGATACGTTCACGGAGGTCCCCGTCTCATTAGTCTTCTTCTCGTTAATCTGCATGGATGTTGTAGAGAGGATCCGCCACTGCAGACTGACAGGACAGGGTGAGCGCAACTACAAACCAGATTCCCAAAAAGTTGGGACACTAAACAAATTGTGAATAAAAACTGAATGCAATGATGTGGAGATGGCAAATGTCAATATTTTATTCGTAATATAACATAGATGACAGATCAAAAGTTTAATCTGAGTAAATGTAACATTTAAAAATATGTTGATTCAAAATGTCACGGTGTCAACAAATTCCAAATAAGTTGGGACAAGTAGCAATAAGTGGCTGGAAAAAGGAAATTGAGCATATAACGAACAGCTGGAAGACCAATTAACACTAATTAGGTCAATTGACAACATGACTGGGTATAAGAAGAGCTTCTCAGAGTGTCAGTGTCTCTCAGAAGCCAAGATGGTAAGAGGATCACCAATTCCACCATTGTTGCGCAGAAAGATAGTGCAGCAATACCAGAATGGTGTTACCCAGCATAAAATAGCAAAGACTTTTAAGTTATAATCATCAACTGTGCATAACATCATCAAAAGATTCAGAGAATCTGGAACAATCGCTGTGCGTAAGGGTCAAGGCCGTAAAACTCTACTGGATGCTCGTGATCTCCGGGCCCTTAAACGTCACTGCACCTCAAACAGGAATGCCACTGTCAAGGAAATAACAGAATGGGCTCAGGAATACTTCCAGAAAGCATGGTCCGTGAACAAAATCCACCGTGCCATCCGCCGATGCCAGCTGAAACTCTACAGTGCAAAGAGGAAGCCATTTCTAAGCAAGCTCCACAAGCTCAGACGTTTGCACAGGGCCAGGGGTCATTTAAAATGGAGTGTGGCAAAATGGAAGACTGTTCTGTGGTCAGATGAGTCACGATTTGAAGTTCTTTATGGAACACTGAGACGCCATGTCATCCGAACCAGAGAGGACAAGGATAGCCCAAATTGTTATCAACGCTCCGTTCAGAAGCCTGCATCACTGATGGTATGGGGTTGCATGAGCGCTTGTGGCATGGGCAGCTTGCATGTCTGGAAAGGCACCATTAATGCAGAGAACTATGTTCAGGTTCTAGAACAACATATGCTCCAATCTAGACGTCATCTCTTTCAGGGAAGACCCTGCATTTTTCAACACGATAATGCCAGACCACATTCTGCAGCAATCACAACATCATGGCTACGTAGGAGAAGGATCCGGGTACTGAAATGGCCAGCCTGCAGTCCAGATCTTTCACCTATAGAGAACATTTGGCGCATCATAAAGAGGAAGGTGCGACAAAGAAGGCCCAAGACGATTGAACAGTTAGAGGTCTGTATTAGACATGAATGGGAGAGCATTCCTATTTCTAAACTTGAGAAACTGATCTCCTCTGTCCCCAGACGTCTATTGAGTGTTGTAAGAAGAAGGGGGATTTGCTGCCGCCATGAAATTTGGAAACAACAGATTTTTTCCCTTAAAATGATATATTCTCTCAGTTTAAACTTTTGATGTGATTTGTGTTCTATTCTGAATAAAATATTAGATGTTGGCACCTCCACATCATTGCATTCAGTTTTTATTCACAATTTGTTTAGTGTCCCAACTTTTTGGGAATCCGGTTTGTACTAACATGTTACAAAAATCAATCACTGACAGCGAAACAGCTTGAACTTTTCTCTGCCGACTTTCAAAGTTACCAGAATTGCAGGCGTTTGGAGGCAACTGTGAACATTTATTAAGAATAAAGTACTGGTAGAACTTCAGTATGAGTTTTTATATTTTGGTTTTGTTTCCTCTGTTCAACACAACAGTATTGGACTTTCAAAAGATATTAAGCAAGGATTTTAAAAATGTATATCAGTTCTC